GGGAATCCGTCAGTGTGTCGGGAACATGCCTGTGCATGGTCGGCACGTAGAACATTAGAAAATTTTTCTAAAAATATAGGGATGCTCAAGTAGGCCACGATGGTATATTCAAACACCCCCATTGAGCAATGTATGAGAAGTTATTACACAATTTTGGCTATGTGCTTAAAATTAACATTAAATTAGTTGTTTCACATATAGGTGAGATGTTTTCGGAGAACGAGCATAGCTAGGCAAGACTCGGGGGTTATGACCCTGCTACAAACCAGTGAGTGGGCTTTTGGTTTTCTATATATACCTATATATGCTTTACATTTTCCTAGAAACTATTTTAAAACGAGTGTATTCTTTTAAATGTCATGTCATGCTTGAATTTCATTTTATTATATGCATTGGTATGTATATGCATACTATTGTATGACGATGTGGATGCCAGGTCAGTTTCAGGTGAATACTGCATGATGTTAGTGGTTGCATTGGTTGTGGTTATACGTAGAGACATGTAGAGCTCATTATCCTGAACCTCGGTGTTAGTGCTCCCGCCTTTGGCCAGGGCACAGTCTTTCACGTGATGTTCACCTCCTGCACCACACGCTCACCTTGGATCCAAGTTTGGTGCACAGCCCTATCGTACAAACCTTAATAGGTGGTTCTGACTCGTAGGTGACCCACGATTATTCGCACAGCCTTCACGTGATCATAGCACTCGAGCGTATTTATTTACACCCAACCCTGTCGTACAGACCACAATAGGTGGTTCCGACTCGTGTGCAGGCATACTTGATGAGCTATAAGTTTAGCCGTATAGATCACGTTAGATGACTCCGGCTGACATATCATTTCTATTGATTTATTTCACCTGACTTACTTATTTCATTGTTGAGATACTTAACATGGCATATACTCGGTTTTCATTACTCCCGAGCATGATTTCTACATACGTATGTATTACTATTTTCTTGGAAATTATACGGGTTTTACGATGAGGGGTTATTATTTTCAGAAAGTGAAATGGTTTTAAAAAACTTTGTTTTTACCCACTTACGAGGACTCTACGGCGGTTTTGACAAACTTCAAAAAATGTAGGGATTTCTTTCGTGCCTTGTATAATTATTACCTAGCTGGTTGACTGTATCTAGGTTACCTATGCTCTGAATATGTGTATCTACACTTTAAATACTTCCACGTGCACTTGTTTACTTAACTAGTGTAAGTTAGCTAGTTCGGTTTTTATTACCTCACATTTTCATATCATTATCACTTCCGCACTGCATACATGGTTACGTCATCTTCACGTGATGGCCAGCATGCCTCGATTCCGATCGAGGTGTGTCAACTCCAATTCTTTTACTAGTGTTTTTCATTACTATTTTTCTTTTTTGTTCGTAACATAATTATTTTTCTAATGAATTAAATCAATGTACTTTTTTTCTCAAATACCAAGAAAAATTTATGTGAGATTTTTTTTTTTTTTTAACAAATAATATTATCTATTCTTAGGGAGAGAGGGTGGGCTTAGTCTTACAATAGGCTAATAATAATGTGGTTCAAATTCGTCTTTGGCAAGAAGCATACCACTAAGTAGCAAATTTATGTGAGATTTGAATTGTATGATTGTGGTTTCCCCATCATAAAAGGTCACACATCATACTTCAATTGTATGATAGTCTAACACAGGAATGTAGACATGTAGCTTCCTACCAGTGGAAACAATGGCTACTTGCGTACGTTGAAGGGCCAAATTAAATTTTGATTGAATTTCATACGATTGTAATCATTAGGGTCGAAAACTAACAAAAATTACATCATAAGTTAAAGCCTTGCACCTAATAAATCGGGTGATGAAAGAAACGGATTGCAGATATGATAGAAATTGAGGTTCCATTATAAAACTAACTAGTAATATGAGAAGTAACTTAATCACTTATAAGCACATGTAAAGTTCATTCTTTTCTCACTGTAGATTAATAGTCTTAATTGCCTCCTCATGGTGTCGTGAGTTTTCAAGGGACAACACAAATTGGGTGACGTGGAGCATATATGACCATTGTGGGATGAATACTTTCAACACGTCCTCTCAGGTGTGACGAATTTTCAAGAGACAACACAAATCAGATGACATGGAGTACGTGTGACCGTTGGACTTCACACGTGAGACAGACTACTCTGGTATCATGAAGAAATTGGGGTTTCATCACATGAAATTACATAACATATACAATGTCCATTCTTTTCCTTATATGAGAGTAATACTCTCAGCAGAGCATTCATCTTGTTATATCAAAGTTCATTTCCAATAAAGAATATACTATGAAGATTAGTACAACTTAATAGGTTGTAAAACCGGTGGTTTATTTCTTATTGAGAGATTTCTAGTGATAGTCAAGGGATGATACATAACTTCGTGTTCACTTATTACTCATATGGGGTACGCGTAGGAGAAATATAGTTTAACTTTTGGTAATGTTTTCTTGCGCACATAATCTTTTCCAAGTTTATTTTATAGGAAAAAAGCACATTTACAGTTAGGGAAGAAGATTTTTTACAAGATCTTTAAAACCTTACAAATGATTTTAATCCGGTTGAAACAAAACAAATAGCACGCATGCACCAACAAATTACACATTATTAATTGAGTATAATGCTAGGAGATTTATATTTTTGCATGACATTGGAGTGTCACACAAAATAACACATGGTGCATATAATTTATATCGATCCAATTGTATAAACTTGTTATTTGATATTACATTTACACATCAGTTGACAGATCAAATGGTACACTGATATCGTACAAAAATGCAAAACCCCTAATATTTTTCTTATTAATTACTATCTTCAAGCAATAAGTCCAACATTATATTTGAAGGATCTTCAAACCCAAACTTTCTCATGCGACCTTTTCATACCATATCGAGCTAGTCGATATGCTACTATATATATCATTTTAAAGTCTAGAATTGAGCAATTTTATTAGGTTTAAAATTTAGGATAATACCGAAAAAAGACATAGATAGATACTTGAATAAATGCAGCTGTAGACCTAAGCCACCGTACATGCAATCCAAACAAAATCAGAAGAAAAAATAAATAATAAATAAATAAAAAAACTTAATGTGATGCTATAGTGATCATCTTTTCGGACCATATTTTGTAGACTACATGATATGACGGTTGATGATTAAATTTCTTCTTTAAATCATCAAAATAAAATTCAATCATCAATCGCCATATCACATGGTTTATAAAATATGCTCTAAACAAATGGCCTCCCTAGCACTTTTGAGAACGCTAATTATGTCATTGATATCAAGTTTTTGTTTCGCTTTGATACATCTTATTGTTATAATTTGTTTCCGACGATTATGATGATTATCATTATTATTTTTCTTTAGTTTTCTTTAATTAACACTTAAAAAAAATCATGCACTTCTTTTTTATGATAAAAACACTTTAGTGATAAAGTATTGCATGATACACAATTGACAGCCAACACCAAACCACAACCTAAACGTTAACATCATAAGTAAAAATTTAATTGTTTTAAAAAGATTCGATGCCTGATTACAATCATAGGGTAAAAAAAACAACCTTGATAGAAACGATGAGCAAAAGTAGTTAACTGATGAAACCTGTTTAAGAATCTTTGCAACCAAAACCTAAAACCTAACTAAGCAACACTGAACTCGAGATATTAAAGCAAAAATAAATTGTAGTAATTATTTCTCAACTTTAATCAAATTAGAGTAATAATTCATCAACTAAAAATTTATTACTATTGGTCCCTCCACTTATCAAAACGTGTAGCTATGATCATTTTCGTCAACTTCATCATAATTTTGTCAAAATGAGTTATGTTAGATGGACCATTACTACAATTTACTCTTAAAGCAAAACTTTGAAAGTGGTATTGAAAACAAAAAGATAAAAGTGCTTAAAGCAAGAGAAATGGTCGCTATTATGATGTTGTAACTTGTAAGTTTGTAACCGGAAAAACAAAATAAAAACAATATTGAGTAAATGGCAAGTAATTAAACCTACTTCAAATTTCTAACACCGGCAAAACAGGCAAAACAAAATGTTGTTGAAGGAAATCAAATTTCCAACATTTACCAAATAACAAATCTTGTTTTTGTTTTTGTTGGTAAGAAATATATTTGCTTTTTCCTTCTGTTGTGTTGGTTTAAACAGATAAGAAATTGTTGTTGAAGAAATCATATTTTCACATTTACCAAAACATCCCTCCGTGGTTAGGTTCCGAGGCAAACTCCGGTAATTTCGCAACAAATCCAGAAACCCAAGAAATGTCCGACGTGGCGCAAAATCATGACCCTAAACTAAGGAACACCCAGACAGCTCCGCACCTGACAACTCCCTTCTCAATGATTAGTGATTTTTTTACCGTGCACGGAGCACCTTAGAACACCCGTGTCGTTATATAAAGTAATACTAAAAAACATTAATTTGTAAATTAAATTTACAAACTAAATAATGTATCGTTAATAGTTAATATTAATGTTTAAATAATAATTTAATCATCAATATTTATATTATTTAATTTATAAAATTTTATTTACAAATTTTATCTCCTTATTAACATTATCTAGATAGAGAAACGCATTTATTTTTTAATTATTAATTACACAATTATCTCATTACTTACATAATAATATAGTGTATCATTTTATATTCCGAATACAGTGAAAATCTCTCCACGATTCATCCCTAGGCTTTGTGGCTCGACATGTACTCGTGATGCTGGCTCGTCCGGGGGTCCCACACGGCACCCACAGGTTCGGGAATCATCGCCACCCGCAGGTCCCACCCACCACATGCCTCATCACCCTTGATTGGATGATTCCCTTGAAAAAAGCGAAAACAAACAAAAAAAAAAAAAAAAAAAAAAATCTATAAAAATTACAACAAAAAAACGCACAATCATCGCTGGTACAAAGACGAGAATACCCTCGCCCTCTTCCTATATAATAAACCCTGCCCCTCCGTTGCCAGGGATCTCATTTCCGAGTTCGCTCTCAACTCCATAGAAACTAGAAGAAAAGAGTAGATTTTCCTTCTTTTATTTTTTTGTTTCGATATTTTAGTTAGAGATCAATCATGTTGGCTGTTTTCAGCAGCGCGATCGTGTCGCCGCCAGACGAGCTGGTGGCCGCTGGCAGCCGAACTCCGTCGCCAAAGATCACGGCGGCGTCGCTAGTCAACCGCTTCGTCCAGACCAATGTCGCCGCCGTCTCCATACAAGTCGGCGACGACGCTCAGCTGGCCTACAGTCACAGCAACGAGTCACCGTTACAGCCTAGGTAAGACAGACACACCGCATGTCGTTTCTCTACAACTTTATCTGTAAATCACACGCTGTAGGAGATTTATTAATCGAACTGGATCATGCAAACCACGCTCCAATTCGTAATTAATCAAACTGGAGTAAAATTGTCCAGAGTACTCATTTTTTTATTAGTTTTTTTTTTTTTTTTTTTTTTGGGATTTATTGTAATTAATTTTATATTTTGTGTGGCTGATTTGTTGATCACGGTTGGAGACTGTGATGATCATGATTGTGAAATCGTGATGATTGTTCTCGGAGCTTTGGGATCAGCGAAGAGAGTTTTGGCGGTTAGTGCGGTGAGGGAGGTCTTGCATGACCGCCAGGGGATGTTAACTAGAAATAAGATTCTGTTGACTAGATTGTTCCGAATGAACCGCCACCCACTGGATGCTTCCACGTGTCAGGATCTAGTATAAGTTTCACAACAATAAGTTACAAATGTTTGTGGGTTTTTGGTCCCTTCATTTTTTTATAAATATTTCATTTTTGTTAAAGCATCTCTAAATAAAATATTAAAATCTTAAGTTGAATGACACTGTATATATTTAACTTCAAAAATCTTTCTAACCAAAGAATTATTTACTGACAGAATTTGAAGATTTTTTGATTTGGAGTTAAATTTAACATTAATGCTAAATTTATTTTTAATGACGAATCCCTTATTCTACTAACATTTCAACTAATAAAAATTTAGAAATTTTAACGAAAGTTTCCTAGTAATGTTTACTTTAATGAAAAATCATATTTTAAACTAAAAATTCAATGTTAATACTATTCAATTTACCCTTTATTTTGTCATTATCGTTAAAACTTAAAATTTTCAAATCATTTTTATTAGTTTTTCTTAAAAAATTTGTTTCAATATTTTTTTTAATAAGTACAAAATTTGACATAAGGTTTCATATTGTCACATCAACAATCATTTGTAATTTGACTCATATAATTTGATATTTCTTTTGGAGGCCGTCTTAGTTGTGGTAAATATTTAAAAGAAAACTAACGAAAAGTTTTCAAAAATTTTATTTTCAATCAAAATGATAAAATAACTGTGTAAATAAATAGTATCATAAGTGATTTTTTTGTAAAAAATATTATTAACGTTAAAAATAAACAATATCAAAAGTGTTTCATTAAAACTTTTAATATTTGAAGTACCAACTAATATATATTGGGCTGTGTTGTCCGCTTATACTTTTTAGCTTTACATACTTTTTCATATTTTTTTTAATTTATTTAATTTAATGATTGAGAATTGAGGGAAGTGTGAAAGTTAAAGAAAGGAGTGAAGCTATCACTGATTTATATATTTTTCAGACAAAAGGAAGCTCTGGGCCAAAAAAAAAGACAAAAAAGCTAATATGTTCTTTTTTAACCAGACAAGAAAAATTGTTTATTCATTAGGTTCTAAAAAAAGATTTGTCAGAAAATTAAGTGCAGTAATGTTTTAGGATTCGTAAAGCCAATCACATTTAATGAGATAAGATTTTGTTGTTGTTTATATTAAGTTCTAAAAATCTTCTCTAAAAAAGTTAAAAAGTTTTAAAATTATTATTCCTCCCAATCAATCTCAAAAGTCTCTTTTGAAATAAGAATATCAGTCTGGAAGTCTCCAAAGAATTGTAGTGGAAGGATCTGATGAGGAGGATGATGCAACCGGAGCGTGCGAGGGAGAGATTCTCCCTTGCAACCGAATATAGATTTAACTGGTGTCATGGGTTCAATACCTACATGATTCAAAAAGTAAACTAATTTGTTTAATAGCCAATTGGTGACAAAAGAATATAAGGATCGATATTGTTTGTCGGGTGTTTTTTTTTTTTTGTTTTTTGGTTAACAACTGGTGTCAAGCTACGATTATCCATCATTTGCAAGCCCAGAAAGGCTATGGGGATCATTGCTGTTTGTTAGGTGTGATTTGATGCAAAGAAGATGGCAAGATGATGTGTCATGGAGGTCTCTTAAGGAACATGCTCTGTTTCTATCATTTCTTTTATTTGACATATAGAGATTAAAACTTATATTAGTACTAATTTATTAGATCACAAAATTAATTTATGGCTTGCATCATTGAAGGACACAGACAGTAACAGTTGTATCCATAGGTGAGGAGAGTTGGGATCATATTGGCAACTTGTACATGGACTTGTTGGTCTAATCATGTGAAAGTTTTCAGGTCATTTGCGGTGAAGGATGAGATATTCTGCTTGTTTGAGGGAGCACTTGACAACTTGGGAAGTTTGAGGCAGCAATATGGACTAGCCAAGTCTGCAAATGAAGTGATTTTGGTGATCGAGGCTTACAAGGCCCTGCGCGATCGTGCGCCTTACCCGCCAAACCATGTTGTTGGCCACCTCAGTGGAAACTTTGCTTTCATAGTATTTGACAAGTCCACCTCAACCGTGTTTGTGGCATCTGTAAGTCATCCTTCCACACCAAGCAAACAATGATCTGCCTTGGTAAAGCTAATAGATTTGATTCGCATCTAACAACAATTGGGTTTGGTTGTAATTGTGACAGGACCAATTTGGCAAGATTCCGCTCTCGTGGGGAATTACTGCTGATGGATATGTGGCCTTTGCTGATGATGTAGAACTGCTTAAAGGTGCTTGTGGCAAGTCGCTTGCTTCATTCCCGCAAGGTGCGTAAAAGTTTTAGTGGATGCATCAGGATCCAAGTGGCACCTAAGTCCTTGAGTTTTTGGTCCACCAGTAATTTGACAAATTATGGCATGATGTATGAGTAGTTACAAAAAAAAAAAAAAATGACCGTTCTTTGTTAATAATGGTGTTATTAATTTGTACAGGATGTTTCTACTCCACGACGGTTGGAGGACTGAGAAGCTTTGAGAATCCTAAAAGTAAGATCACTGCTGTGCCTGCTACTGATGAAGAGATATGGGGTGCAACATTTAAGGTAAATAAAAAAGTGCCTATTATTCGTTTTGGTAAGAGAATAGACTAAATTTTCAAGAACACCTGTTGATATGGTATGTAGCATCCGGGTTCCAGCCTGATTATTCCTTCTGTAAGGTCTTTCTAGTTGGATAGGGCATAAGTTTCTGTTTTGATCGACGGGATGTGTATTATTACGTCGCTAATGATAAATAGGCTGAGTGAAGAGTTAAATCATATGATGCAAGAACTATATTCCTAATTTCATATTCAAACAGGATTGCAGTAGCATCTCAACACGAAGAGCCTTAGTTGGATAAAGTTTCAAATCTTTGCAGCGAGTTAGCTGATGATGTAAAACTGTTCCTGATTAAGGCTCTTTGGAATTGGAATGCTAAAGCATCCTCCTTGACGACACTATATTCTGAGCAAAAAGAAAAAAGTGCATGTTTTGAAGATGAAGGTTGTCCATTGATTTGAGGATCATTTAGAAGATCTGATGAAGCCAGTGACTAGGGCCAGGCATTCGTGATTGCAAACCCCTCTTCCATCCCTATAGTTGTACAATTTATTTACAGGGACTAGGACCAGGACTAGGCGATGAAAATTCACCAACTTTATTAATGTTGATTTGGACCACATGTGTCGTCAACTTAACGGGGTGAAATTTCAGGTGGAAGGGCCATCAGTTTTTGCAGCCACAAAGTAGAAGTTTTTCCAGATAGAGTACTGTATCGTCGAGCCTTCAAAATCTGAATCTGTATCGGTTTCGATGGGGAAGGTGTTTACATGGCGTTGGGTGCAAGGCACACATCAGGAGCCATGTGAATAGCTGAACAAGTGAGTGTTGATAAGAGTGTTTCTCGTGTAGTTTCTGCTTGTTGTATTCTAAGCTTCTATTACCAATGTACAGCTATGCTTTTGTTTAATTAATAATATTGTTGTATTAAGGTTTGGAGTTATTTTATCGGGATCAATCCACATTTATAATGCAATTGCTTCTTCTCCGTTGAATGATTGAATGAATGAATGAATAAATTCTAATCAAGAGTTGCCATTGGAAGAGAGAAAAGAAAAGAAAGGAGGCTGAATAATTTGGCTTAATTCAGTGTTGATTAGGGCTAGTTGGGTGTTGCTATGCTTTTTAAAAAACTGTTTGGGACAAATATTGTAAGTGTCATGTCCCGATCCCGACATACGTCCAATATCGACACATGACGTCACCGCATTCTTGTTTATCTATCATGTATCGCCTCTGGAACAAGACCAAAACACAATCAATGATTTAACCATGCAGTCATTTCCTTTTATATCATGGTTGCATCTAACATTGCTTTAGACTACCTACGTACCCCAAGAAGGGATCAAGCCATTTGTAATTCACCTTTCACTGCACTCTGACGTTTATCACAGTATGTTCTAACAAAAAGACATGGCATTCCTCCATCAACTATTGGAGCTTGACAAGCATGAATTACTAGATTCAGGACTACATAACAACCCACATGACATTCAAGATTTCCATTTTCTCAATCATATAAATCACTATGTTTTCACATGATACCTCAATCCATAGCATGTAACATATCAAAGAATCAATGAAGCACAATAATATACTCAAGCCACATTGATCAACTAATCTAATCATAATAATAAAAATTATATCCAACGTCATTCCACAATCACGTCAATTAATCAATTCCACGTATCAAAGATGCATGATATTAACATTTAACCACGTTAATCAATCAATGAGATAACATATCATTTCACGAATTTAATTAAAAAACTCAACATAATTCCCTATTTGGATTATGAGTGATAACATGGTAAATCAAATTTATATTCACAAGGTCTAATGTGGGTAATTCCCATTCACTCGAATCTAGAGTTCCAGACTAACCTTATGGAAATGAGTAAAAGTAAGGATTCCGGACCACTCAACTAAATCCAACTAAAATATGGCACCTACCAAAATGTACCAAGTACAACTAATCCTTATACCCCCTAGAATGCATATGGTCCCCCATTGCGGATATACCAAGTAGAACCATAGGCATAATCTACCCGTGCAGGTAGTAATCACCTATCGCGGATATACCAAGCATGATCACCCCTGAAATACGTATGGTCCCCCATTGCGGATATACCAAGCAGGACAACATCCTAACTCTAGGTATCGATCACCTATTGCTGATAAACCAAGCAGTACCATAGGCATAGTCTAATAATGTAGGCAGTGATCACCCATCGTGGATATACCAAGTATGATCACCCCTAACATATGTACAGTCCCCCATCGCGGATATACCAAGCGGGACTGTATCCTATAGCTCTAAGTAGTGATCACCTATCACGGATATACCAAACATGATCACTCCTAGAATGCGTATGGTCCCCCAATGCGGATAAACCAAGCAAAACCATAAGCATGGTCTAATTGTGCACGCGGTGATCACCCATCGCGGATATACCAAACAAGAAAACAATTCCATTCCTTTCAGATTTTACATGTATATATAAGTATTAGTTCAACTTCAAACATATGCAAAAGTTTTGATAATGTTAAACCAATGAGATCTTAATTAGATAATCAATACATATAACAATTACCATATCTGCTTACAAAATTTATATCCATAAGAAACAAGGCCATTGCCAACAAAAATGTCTAAATCCAACAGCAACAATCTAAAAAAACCATACATGCATACAAAAACCATACATATATGTCACACCATCACAGAACATGCACACCAGATCAAAGAAGGCAACAAACTCTTAGCACAATTATTACAACTAGCACATGGTATGATTTTGTAAAAATACAACCATAATATTATGAGAGTGACAGTTAAAAGAAAGTCAGGCATCCCTTAATAAAAGAGCCTCCCATATAAATGTTGAGTGCAACCGAATATATCTCTGTCTCTAATTCTTTCATTGCATGTGTGATTACATAGTATAGTCTTTCTAGCAGGAACATTCGCAAAATCAATACTATTAGAGGCTATATTACTAGGTACAACAAAAGAACACACAAAAGGAGAGAAAATAGATATCATTACATATTGGAATGCTATTGGCATGATGGCTCTATGGTATTTTTCTCAAACCCTTTATAGCATCAGAAATTACAAACTTTTGGAATGTGCTTTTAGCTTATCAAATAGGCCTATTATAGTCATAATTCAGCTCCACTTTTCATCATAATTACCAAATTTATGATTAAGAAAAATACATTAAAAGCATAATCATATATTTCATATTTTTACTAAAACTTGAACCTGGGGTATAAATGGCAAGGTCAGGCCACCCATTGGCCCCATTCCAGTAGCTTGAGGTTGAAGAATCACCATTTTGCAAGCCCATACAACTCCCTAGATTCCCATTGCTCTGATCATGCTCTGAGATTTTCGATTCCTCCCCTCCTTGAGACTTGGAGTTGATGAGATAATGTGAGAGTAGAAACAGAGAGAGTTCTACGAAAGAGAGTGAGGGTTTCTTTCCCCCTTCCCCCCAAGCCAAGAGAGAACCCGGAACCAAAGAGGGGCGTGGACCCCAATGAACCCAAATAACCAATAGATTTATCTAGAAATGGAGGAATTTTACCAATAATACCCTTGACTTTAAAGTCCCGTAAAAACTTTGTTCTAAAATCAAATCTCGTTCCGCTTGCGCCCACGGGTTCCTAGCAATGAGTACTAAAATATTATACATAGTGTGACTTCGTAAGGTCTACGAATTTTCTATTGATCAATAACCAAAATTCAAACTTCATAATTAGTTTAAGTAAAATCTAGAATTAATAAAATTAAAATGTATTCCATAAAATAATATAAAGTTCTGCTAATACATAATACGTCAATTACTGAATTTCACAGTAAGTTTGCAAAATATATATGGGTATAATTGCCGTTTGAAAATTTCTTTAATTGGGCACTAATATGCTTTGAAAAAAAAAAAAACACTGTTTTTAGAAACATGGTAGATCCTACTTCTGCTTTTCAATTGTCATTGACATTAGTTTAAAGAAAAGAAAAATACTTTTTATTTGTTTTACCAAACACATTTGATGTTCTAGATTTTTTTAATAAGCTCCTTTTTGTTTATAGCACCACAATCACAAATCGGTCCTCAATAATTAGCCGAACCGAATTGGATAAACCATGTAATGATTGGTATCGACATTTCACGATAAATGTTTACATGAAGACATTGTTAGAAGAAGGAAAAAAAAAATTTGGTAAGTTTTACATGTAGCAAACCTGCACTTCTCATTTCAAATATTAGATGGGAACGTTCTCTTCCGAAACGACATGGGATATAAACGTTTTGGCCCTTTTGGAATGGTGAAAACCAAAGAGTACTCCCACTTTTTGTGTTTAAAAGCAGAAATCCATTCGACTCAGGCATTTCTCTGCAATTCATGTTTCTTCTTCTGAATCTTCTCAAACCCTACCGATTCTTTCAGTCAGATTTCAAGAAATTCCTTTTATTTCTCAGTAAAATTTAATTACCCTTTTGTTCTCAAACCGTTTCACCATGCCGGATTTGCTCACTTTGCTGTCCGGACAAGCGTTTGTGGTTGGAAGAGTTGGGACCCAAATTATATACTACGATGTACTTGATGCGTTCGGAGATATGGTGTTCGAAGATCAAGAAAATGCCATATTCATTGTTTGGGTCAAAACGTAATTGAGACATACTGGTTCTATTTTTCAAAGAGTTCAATTTTGTAAATGTTATTTAATTTGGCTTATTTTCTAGATAAATTGTAATTTATATTTAATTGAGTATGTAATTGATCTTGTAATTATCATGCAAGATCTCATGTTAATTTGTTTTATTAGTCTAGCCTGTTAGGATTAGATTGGTCGGTCAAAGATGATGGCAATCACATCAATTGATCGTTGGAGAAAATAAAGGGATTGGACGTGAAAATTAATCGAAGGACTTTCTAGTCCAAGAAAAGTATGTAAGGTCACCTATTTAATAGGTCATTCACACTCAAAGGAGGACATCTTTTGCAATGCAAAAATATCCATACTGCATTTGAGTGAGCAAAGGAAGCTGTTCTGCACATCATTCAAATCCAGCTAAGTGCAACCCTGCTGTGTGCATCAGACGTTCAAGATTGAGAGGACAAGGCTCACTAGGTTGTGTACCTAGGTCTCGTATGAATCTTGTAAAGTCTTCATCTTTTCCTTAGTGGATTATTGTTGGCAATCTTGCATGTTTGAGCAGGAAATCTCGCTAGGAGGGGTCCCTGGCTTGAGCACACAGCTCCCCGAGGAGTTGGCACCTTGGTTGGTTGTCATGCTCCTTCTTGTTGACATGCTGCAAGAAGAGGACAAAGTTAGTTCTAAAAGGTGCCTTTGTGGGGCCTTAGGTGTAGGCCTTGAGGCTCACAATAAAAACCAACTAAGTGCTTAGGTGTGTCACTGCCATCTCGGTATGGCAGATGCCGAACTAGTGTATTTAAGCCAATTACTTGCGCCCCAAGTTATTCTGACTTCTTGTTATCAAAGGAATGTCGTAGATGAGTTAAGTCTACATTAAGTTCTTTTCTAGGCCTTGAGATCAAGGACTTTTGGTTGTTTATCTTGTATGCTTAAAGGGTGTAGGTCCAAATCTGATTAAGTCATCGGTTTAATTCACATTTAGTCTTCTTATGATAGTAAAACCACTAAGTGAACCAGATCTGAGAACTGATGGAACTTTGGTTCATCAAAACACTGGAAATGACTTGAATATATACTGAGGAATACATCATAACACCAGATCTATTAACTTAAAGACAAAACAAAGAGTTGGGCAAGATTTCACCTTGTCGGGCAAGTTTTAAATGTCTTGCGGTCTCTTCTCTTTGTAGTTATAAGGGGTTAAGTACTAAAGCAGGATGAGTTGTGAACAAGTTTATACAAGAGAATCGATACTACAGCATTTAGGAAAGGTAGCA